GAATGGTCATTATGGTGAAGCTTAAATGAAAGCAAACATGTAAAGCACACAGTACCTCTTTTGCTTAAGAGCGTAAAAAAAAAAAACCTTCATTATCATTGTTATTATTGATATCAGACCAACAACATACCTCCTCCTTTAGACTCAAAAGTTCTGAACTGGCGGGTAGCCAACTAGAATTGGCATTTAGTTAACAATATCAAGAACAATATATAAGTTCTATGTAATTTCTACTATTCCTCCTTCTTCCCTTCTTTCATAGTAATGTTGCCTTTGAATGGGGTTTGCTTCTCTCAGACTTCAAAGTGGGAAGGAATTGTATAGTTACAAAAAAAAAAAAAAAGAATCTGATTAATAACTTATGGCTTTCATTATGTAGAGTTTTTTGAAATGAATTACATGTATTATTTATTATTTAATTTGGGTAATAAATCCCATTGGCAGGTGGTAAGTCTCCTCATTATAGACAAATGACATCTATTAAAAATGGGAGTTGAGAACACAAACATGGCACACCATCATAGCTGGCGAGCTGATTGCATTTCACTTTGTGAAATTAAAGAGCAGGCTGTCCTAGCATTCTTTTTTTTTTTTTTTTTTTCCCCTTTAAGTCTTAATCTAACTTGGCTTCCATACTGACTGTTTTATTCCAAAAGCTCCCCAAGCCTTTGCCTTAATCCTTCTGCAGTTGCCTAGAGGAGTGCTACTCACAGTGGGGTTCCTGGACTAGGCTGGTTCAGTGGGATATTTGCTGCTAAGCGGTGAGAAGACAACTGTGGAAACTGAGAAGAGTTCTTAGTCACTGTTACAGCACCAAGACGTTCCATGGCATCTAAGCACGTGGTCAATAGGTCTATATTTTATGTAACTTTCTGTTCGATTTCCCTAGTCATTCATTTTTATCATATATTACCAAACATCAATCTCTAATAGATTAGAAATAAAATGTCCATCATCACACGTGGCTCTGGAAACACTGTACTAGAGCAATGGAAAGCCCAAGATGCAATACCAGACGGGAAGCCATGTATTATGACTCATCAAAGCTTTGAGAAGAGACGGTGGAAGACATGACAAGTGGGGAAGGAGAATGGGAGGATGTCTCTGTACATTTGACACAGAGCTGTGCACACGGATGTTTTAGTAGATGTATCCTCTTAAAGAAAGCAGTGGATGACAAATCTGGGACATGTGATTTCTTTCAGTGCCCGCACATGCTGTCAGGGATTACATAACTTCTGTCAGTTGTTTAAAATAGACAGCCCTTAGAAAATGCGTCTAAAAGCATCTAACCGACATCCTTCGTATTTCAGTTGTCCTGTCTTTCCCTTTCTCTTTGACAAACCAAGCCAGAGTTGGGTCTTTGAAGATCTTTTATTTATTTACTTATTTTTGCATCATGATGGGATGTAAAAGTGCGTTTCATTCTCCAGGCTAGAACCTGTGTTTGAGCCAACACACCCGGGTAAAGAAATGTAATCGCCCCAGGGAGGAGCTGCACAGCATTTTCTGTCTGAAAGTTTGCGGTAGACTTGTGTAGTCAATACCTGGGGAAAAGAAACCAAACCAAACCCAACTCACTGCCCTGGAGTCGGATCCGACTCGTAGCCACCCCTCCTAGGGTTACCGAGGCGGTATCACTACGGAAGCAGATTGTCCCATCGTCTTTCCGAGGAATGGCTGGTGGGTTTGAACCGCTAGCCTTCTGGTTAGCAGTCAAGTGCCTTAGGCACTACGCCACAGGAAATGGCATACAATATCAGAAAAGAAGCCTGTGACCTTTAGGTTTATTAGGGCTTACATTTTTGTTTACTGATTTGATCTGTAGATTTATACAGCACTGATTATTCAGTGAATGCTGACCTGACTGGTAAATCCACAAGGAGGTGCTTATGCTTAAATTCTGCAATGTGATTGGTCAGTGCTCAGGAACAGAGACCCTCGTAGACTGCATGCCCCTCTAGAGACATATCCATGACATTCTGCCTCGTGGATTTATGACTCTGGAACTGCGTCAGGAGCCATGAGACATGGTTTTTAGAAACAGTAAGAATACCTTGATTTTTAAATCACAGCAATGAAATCTGATTTGTGGCATATGACATACATTTCTTTATATTTAACAAGCTTAGAAAATACAGAAAAAAATGAATAAAGACAACCAAAATTCTGTTGTACAAAAATTACTATTTATATATAAGGGTAGTTGCGTTTAGTCTTTTCTTGTTTTATACAAAAATTAGTAATATAATTAGGATTAAATCGATATGGTTTGACACACTACTTTTCCTTCTAACTTTGCATTATTATAGGCCCTGACTTATAGGGGGGCTCTGTTCTGAGATTCTGTCTTAAGTCAGTTCTGACATAAGTCAAATGCTTTTATTCATTTATTTATTTTTAGGTTTTTGTTATCATTGCCCTTCATTATCAGTATCTTTGTAAATCCAATCTTTATTTGTCTTTGGGGGTTGGCATGAGTATGATACCATCAGCAAATGCTACGCATGTTGGAGTACACATAACATTGTAATGTGTGTAGTACATATTATTAATGATAAGCTGTACAGAAAACAAATAAATGGACTGCGGTGAATTGCTTGATGTGGCTCTTCTAGACACTGTCCTCCATTCTGTGATGTATTGTAAATCCTATTATCCATGCCTGTTTGGGGTGGTGTGGTAGTTAAGGTCGGGTGTCAACTTGGCTGGGCAGCTGGTAGTAGTCATTCCCTATAATGACTGGCAGTCGACTCTGTGGTTGGATTTGCCTTGAGCTGCTGATTGTTAAAGCCATCCACTTGGGTTATTTCTGTTGGAGCAACACAGGTGGAATGTATCTTGAGTCCTGCCTTGCTGGAGGGTATAATTTCAGTCACCACCCTTAGCTTCCCTGAGGGTGTACCTACGAATCTGCTGGGAAGGTTCACCCTCCTCTTTCTCTGGTTCTGTGTTTTGGCTCATCCTCACCTCACCCCTGGATTTGGGACAGCAGCTGTCATCTGATCTGCTAATCGAGGTTCATTAAACCCCGAGAATTGGGAGGATCCTCTAGACCCACTCACGGACCCGGGACTCGCCAGCCTGCCAGCCTCCACCACTACTGTGTGAGACGAACCCTTGGGTGTCTGTGAGTTCTGTGAGCGTTACAGGAAACACAGAACCCTAAGACAGGGGAGATCACTGGGAGGAGGAGGAGGAGTTAATGTCTGAAATGTGGCATGGCACGGTAGTTTGGACATTTGGGCCATCTTTAATCTTCACCTCATGGGGAGCGGCCTCGTGTTGATCTTTCTGAGAGAAATTGTTCAAGCAAGGCGGTCGCAGCAGCAGCAACAAGTTGGTTCATCGTAAGTCAAATATGTCAGAAGTCCAAGACTACTTGAGAACTTTCCATTTTCAGTCACATTTTTGTTATGACTGACTCGATAAAGTTTACCAAACATCCTGCTAGACTGTCGTCTGGGCTGACTCACAGAAGTGCGAACAAGCACATGAAGCCTTCCCCTTCCCAAGCCCGCTCCCCTTCCCAAGCCCCTTCTTCTAAAAGTTAAATTACACAGAAGGGAGCTGAAAGTCAGCCTGTGGGGTTTACGTTAACGTCCTTGTTTTTGTTGTTAGATGCCTTGGAAGTTGGTTCAGACCCCTGAGGACCCTGTGTACATCAGAACAAAACACTGCCTTGTTCTGCACCATCCTCACAGTCGTTGCTATGACATTCACTTTACCTAAAGTAATTTGTCCTTTGTCCTGGGTCCCTGTGAGATAACTCCCAAACCAAACCCAACCAAACCCAACTCACTGTCATCGAGTTGATTCCAACTCATAGCAACCCTATTGGACAGAGCAGAATTGCTCCATAGGGTTTACAAGGCTGCAAATCTTTACAGAAGCAGACTGCCTCATCTTTACCCCATGAACGGCTCGTGGGTTCAAACTGCTGACCTTTTAATTGGCAGCCAAATACTTTAACCACTGCACACCTATACATTAGGTCCTTGCAGTGACTCTAAATCCTTGAAATTGACTGAGTAAATGAGGGAACTTTTTTGTGTGTAAGCTTCCAGATCATTTCTGAAAGTGTACGCTAGTGAGGTGACTCAGGTGGGGTCTGGCCAGGCCAGAAAGCCCACCTTGTGATATCACCTGACCTCAGGGGAAATGGGTTGATTAAATCAATCATGTCTACATAGTGAGGCCCCAGTAAAGACTCTGGATGGGGAGGCGCCATGGGCTTGCTGGTTGGTAAAAGACATCAGTGCATGTGGGAGGGTAGTGTGTCCCTTTTTGGGACTTGAAAGCCCCACGTTGGGGATCCTTGCAGATCTTGTCCTATACATCTCCTCATTTGTATCCTTTTCCCTATAATAAAATTGTAATCATAAGTATAGCACCTTCTATGAGTTCAGTGCATAGTTCTAATGAATTATTGAACCCAAGGAAGTAGTGGGAACCAGCTGGTCAGAAGTGAGGGGGACTGGCGACCTCTGAGTTTAGCCCAGCATTTGTGGCTAGCACATCAGAAGTGGGGGAACTTGGGGAGGGGCCGTTGTGACTGGCGTCCTGATGGGGTAGTGGGAAGACCATGAATTTGTACCTAGGAAGTCGCAAGTGCCTTGGGGCCCCCCAGGGTTGCAGCAGACGTCTGAGGTCTTGGGTGGACTTGGCAGTTGGGAGGACTGTGTCCCTTGCCTTGTGAGGGCTGCCCTAGCTCCAGTGCTTGCTTTGCGTCAGAGAAAGAAGTGCTGCATCGGCAGCCAATGTCAGAGAATTGCGGATTCGACATTTTTCCACCCAGAGTCCTAGGAAAGGAAGAGAGTGATGCATTTTCCACATAGGGGATGTTCATTTCCTTCTCGTCTCCCTTTCCTGTCTTCCTGTTTTCTTTTTCTTCGCAGATGTATACGCTGTACTTGATTGAGCGGTGTGTGTGTTGTTTTTAACCACCTCCTTACCACGGTCACCATTCACAGCTCTCTCTTCTATTCCATCTCCCCCAGGTGCTGGATTAAATGATGGGCAGTGGCATTCCGTCACCTTATCTGCTCGAAGGAATCACCTGAGTGTGACAGTGGACGGCCAAGGGGCCTCGGCTGCCCCTTCCCTGGGGCCCGAGCAGGTTTACTCGGGGGACACCTATTACTTTGGAGGTAAGGGAAGCTGGCAGACCACATGGGCAGTTGACCCTTGCCTGCATTTCCTACCCCTGTGTTCTGGGGAAGTCATCAGGATTTCACCAATATCACTGTTGTTGTGGGATGCTGTCAAATTGCTATTCGTAGTGACCCTGTAGGACAGTGTAGGGGTTCCTAGGCTGTAATCTTCACAGGAGCTGTAATCATTATGGAAGTGGGTTTGAACCATGAACCTTTCTGCTAGTAGCCAAGTGTTTAACCATTGCACCCCCAGGCCTCCACCAAGGATAACACTAAAGAATGATTTCTTGCTTTCTTTGAGTGAATCAGGATAACAAATTACAACTTGAAATGCATGTCTACTAGGCAGACTTAGGTTTGTGATTTCTCTAAGATCGATTTTAAGTAGGTTACCCTCTTCACTTTTTACTTTGAAACCTTGTTAGGTTTCCCTCATGGTAGATGGTTTTTCCCTGATTTTATTGCAGTAGTTTCCTGAGCATTCCTTGTTTGCTTTCCCACTGCCCAATATAGAAGGACAGTATTATGCCCATGGAGGAGTAATTCGACTTAATTAGCTGTAATTAACCTCTTCCCGTTGCTACTACGTAATAATGCACGGATGCATTTAATAAAAGCAGGCCATCGGCAGTCAGCACCAGGCCATCTCCCTTAAAGAATAAGAACAAATGCAACCTGCCCAGTGGATGTTTCATTGAATGGAGAGCCTGGAAAAGGAATCCTTGGAAATGGAATGAACCTTTATCACCAGAAAATTAAAAGAAAATGTTCTTTGCCTTTAGGAATGCAAAGCCATAAAACTGTCAGGAGTAAGACTTATTTCTAATCGTGGCTTGAGTTGTTTCTTATTTATCATTTCTGGTGGTGGTGGTCTTGTTTTGCATTTTACTGGCTGCTTCTGTCTAGAATCACTTTTGAATTTGGTAGAAGTGGCCCAGGCTTTATTACTCACCAGGATCATCCAAATTCCTTTCTGGAAATGGACACACGGTGAATCAGTTCATGTCATCTTTACAGCACACAAGCAAACCGACAAAGAGCCCTATTTACACCCTTACTGTGCAAGGAGGCGTGGTGCCAATAATCTTAAGATACACAATTGCTTCCTTTCCTGAGATTTGCTCATTTCTGAAGCCGATTGTTTATAAAACTTTTCAGAATATATTATTGCTTTTATGGCCGCTCATAAGAACATGTTCTTTTAATAAATAGTCATATTTAAAAAACAGTTTAACCCGGAGGTTGTACTTCAAAGGAAAACAATTTAAAAGCACTAAAAGCGACTTTTAAAAGAAGGCACATTGTTAAATGATGCAAAATGAAAGATGGGATAAAAGTGTTTGTAAATCATGAAAATAGAATCATCGTTCCTCAAGTGCTTTGCCACCCCAGTGCTGATCTCTCAGTCCCAGCCATTCCGTGTAGAAAATGTGCTCTAGTGATTGTTTTTATTCGTACTGTAATATTATTTTAGGATGAAATATCCCACATATGCACACTGTAATTTCACTTGTTGTTATTATGAAACCTATGACTTACTCATTTTTGTATTGAAATAAACTTTTTAAATTTTAGAATAGTTGCAGACTAACAGAAAAATCACAAAGATCACAGGACAGCAAGTTCCCATACTCCTCACACCCAGTCTCCTCTATTGTTAACATCATTTTATGTACATTATAAATATGTTATTTATATGTATCAGAATATTGTATATATTATATATAATGATATATATATATAAATATATAAAATATTAATAGTTAATCCTTGTACAATCCAAGCTACTTTTCTACCTGGGAATTTCCATTATTATTAAATGTTTTAACAGAGAACATTTTCCCTAATGCTTTGTTTTCCTAACAAAATTCATTTATACAGCAAGTAAAAGCTAGCATTTATTCTTAAAACTACTATTGGGCACACTGAAATATTATAGCTTCAACTCAATGGAGACTTAAGAAAAAGTGATCAGAGTTTTCTGAGTATCATTTTATTGTTTGTGATAGAACATACATTCCGAGTGCTGACAATCTTCTGTGACCGTTACTGTAATCTTGGGGTGGTAAGTTCCCTAAGTGTATAGAAACACTTTGAACATCTGTATTATTTTTATATATCGTTATACACATGTGTTATAATATAATATACATATATATAAAGTATATAAAGAGGCATTTTCAAGAATACTAGTGGTTGTTTTCAAGCACCGAAAAAACAACCAAACCCACTGCCATCGGTTCGATTCCAACTCATAGCGCCCCTTTTGGGCTTCCAAGGTGGTAAATCTTCATGAAAGTAGATTGCCCAGTCTTCCTTCTGCGGGATGACTGGTGGGTTTGAACCACCAACCTTCTGGTTAGCAGTCAAATGCCTTAGGCACTGTCCCACCAGAACTCCTCATATGTTGTTGTTGTTATGTGCTGTCGAGTCACACCCAACTCATAGAGACCCCTCCTTGGGTTTCCAAGGCAGTATATAACAGGTCACTATGAGTTGGAAATGGCTGGATGGCAGTGATTTGTTTGTTTGTTTTTAATGTATATATAGAGAGATTTTCAGGAATACTGAGGGTTGTTTTTAAGCACTGGAATGGGGAAGAGAAAAAAAAAAACAAACACTGCTATCAAGTTGATTCCAACTGATGGCAACTCCCACTGGGTTTCCTAAGTGGCAAATCTTCGCAGAAGTAGATTGAACACTCTTCTTTCTGCGGAGTGGCTGGTGGGTTTGAACTGCCAACCTTTCAGTTAGCAATCAAATGCCTTAGACACTGTGCCACCAGAGCTCCTTTCTTCAAGCATACGTGATGCATATGCCCAGGTGTTAAGAAAGAGACAACCCCTGAAATCCCATTTGGCACTCAAGGATTGTATCCCTTGATCTCTCCAAGCGAACATTATCGTGAATTTTGGGTTTAACCTTCCTTTCATGTTCCTGATACTTTGCCATCTGCAGAATTCAGGAATCACTTCTGACACCAGTGGCAGATTCAGAGGTCCCTGAGGTCACCATTAGGTTTGAAGATTCTCTAGAAGGACCCATAGAACTCAGCAAAGCTGTTAGATTCATTGAAACTCACCGGGTTTCTTACACTAAAAGGGCACAGATGAGAGTCAGCACATAGGGTGGGGTCCTGGAAGTACCATGTGTGGTGCTGCCAGCTCTGCTCTCCCAAGGGGGAGCCCTGTGGAGAGCAGCCGTTTCTCCTAACAGTGATAGGTGTGACAGTCTTACCAACCAGGGACACTTACCCAAGCCTTGATGTCTGGAGTCCAGGGGCTCACTTCTGTAGACACACTTGACCACCTGGTGGCTGACTCTCTCTCCAGGCAAGATTAATTTCTTTCTGCAAAACTCCCCTTTTAGAACTTTGTGCTGCTAAATATCACTGTGCAGCACAGGCTGGGGACACTGGACTGTGTGCAGACTTCTTCCCCAACCCCCCCCAACACAATCCATGCGGTAACTGGCTACACACCACAGAGCAATCTCACCCCAGCATCTCACGCCTGGTGCAGTGACATGCAGTGATAAGTTATCTGTCATCCTCAGAGCACTTAACTTGCTGACTGCCTCTAGTGATTGATCCGTCCATTAATTCCACATTAAGTATTCTCTGCTAATCTTCATATTTTAGAACTTTCAAACAGGTTCAGTGCTGAACTCCTCTGCTGTTGCGTTCTCTTCACTGTGAATACTTCTATTCATAGACTAATGAGACTGTGAGTTGAATCCTCCTTTGTTCTTAGAACCTCTTGTTTATCATAACTAGGAATATGAAGCCTCATGATGTCAAAGTGTGCTTTTGGTAAAGTTCTGTGACCTTTCCCTGGGCCTAAGGTTTGCTTTGCTTGCTTCCCAGCGAGCAGATTGCACAATTTATTTTATTCTGCAATAGTAGGAGATGTGTCAGAAAGCAGCTTCTGGAGAAAGGGAGATTAGCGGAGCTGTTTATATTCCTGGCATATTATAGTTGTCCCTAAATATTAATGAACTATTGTCCTTCACTCCTTATCCTAGCATTCTTAATTGGCTAATAAGTCATCTAGAAACCACCCCAAGTACAGTAACTGTCACAGAAGATTGTAAGCATTTGGAATGTATGTACTACCACATACAATAAAATGATACTCAGAAAACTCTGATCACTTTTTCTTAATATATTAAAATCGAAACTCCAAAGTATCCATCGAGTTGAAGCTGTAATATTTCAGCGTGCCTGATAGTAGTTTAAGTATGAGTGCTAGCCTTTACTTGCCATATAAATGGATTTTGTTAGGAAAACAAAGCATTAGGGAAAATGTCCTCTGTTAAAACATTTAATTATAATGGAAATTCCCAGGTAGAAAAGTAGCTTGGATTGTACAGGGATTAAGAAGTTGCTGATTCATTTCTTATTCTTTGAAATTATAATAGTGGTTGGCAACTGTAACAGCAAAGAAAGATTAATGTACGTGTTTGTACTCCATAAAATTATTTATTTCTCTTGGATAGAGAAACACTTTGAACATCATTAAATGCCAGGCAAAAACAGTTAATATCATATTTTTTTTATTATTTAAATAATTAGAAGTCTTAAATAAATGCTAGGGAAAAAATCAATATAAGTGGAACATCCTTTTATGAGGCCAATAATAAATAAAATTAACCAGTAGAGTGTTTTCATTGTGAAAATATTATGATTTATTAAAATGCATGGATATGTGCCTCTTAGGTATATGAAAATAAAATACTTCATTAAATAGTTGGTAATTTTATTCCAAGTCAATGTAACTTCTTTTCCAATTGTGTTGTTGTTGTTGTGTGCCCTTGAGTCAGCCCCAACTCATAGCGATCCCTCCTTGGGTTGCTGAGGCAGTATCACTATGGAAGTAGATTGCCCAGTCTTCCTTCCAAGGAGTGGCTGATGGGTTTGAACCACCAGCCTTTTGGTTAGCAGTTAAGTGCCTTAGGCACTATGCTACCAGAGCTCCTAATAGTTGGCTTTAAACACAAAAGTATTTTGCCATTATTAATTTATCTTTTCTTAACTACAGTGCACGTTTTCATCCTTTCTGCACCTCACTTTGCAGGCCATCAGACGAAGTGCCTGTGTTTATGTTATATGTAATTTAATAATACTGGCTACCCTATTTTGACTGTTAAGATTCTGGAGCTTATATATATATATATATATATATATATATGAAACTTTTAGCTCAAGCTAGTATCCTTGTACATAGTTATTATAACAGTTGTGACTTCCTGTGGATCTTATGAGACTAAAGAAGAAAATATTTTTGTATGAATTGCAAATTGTAATTTAAATCGAACTGATGATAACTGCCATGGCTCTGTCCCCATCCCCTTAAGATAGACAATGATCAAATGGCTATTTCTTCTTCTTTTTAAAACATCATGTGATAGGAGCTCTGGTGGCGTAGTGCCTAAGACACTTGACTGCTAACCAGAAGGTTGGCAGTTCAAACCTACCAGCCACTCCTGAGAAAGAAAACTAGGCAATCTCCTGCCATAAAGATTTACTACCTTGGAAACCCAAAAGGGGTCGCTGTGAGTCAGAATGAAACATCGCATTATACTGAAGCCTAAATCACGAGGATATGTGCAGGCGTTATTTTGTTTTGTTTTGTTTTGTTTTGTTTTGATCAGGTTGTCCTGACAGCAGCTCTGGGTCCAGATGTCAAGGCTCTCTGGATGGATTTCAGGGATGCATGAAGCTCATTGCCATTAGCGGCGAAGTCATAGACTTGATTTCTGTTCAGCAGGGGGCCCTTGGGAACTTCAGTGACCTTCAGATAGACTCCTGTGGTATCACAGACAGGTAAGGACAGTCTCACTTCTTTAGTCTGACCTGACTGTTTTCAGCCTTTTCACAGCAGATTCAATACACATGTGCACACACGTTATTGAACCCAGCAGAGAATTGGAGAATGCCATGGAGAAGGAAGGAGCTCTGGTGCCGTAGTGCCTAAGGCACTTGACTACTAACCAGAAGGCTGGTGGTTCAAACCCACCAGCCACTCGGAGGAAGGAAGGTTGGGCAATCTACTTCCAGAGTGATACTGCCTCAGAAACCCAAGGAGGGGTTGCTATGAGTCAGGTCCGACTCGATGGCAACAACAACAACATGTGAGAACAAGGTTCCAGAATTGGTAAAAGGTTGGAGAGGGGGGTCATATCTGACCTCCACGTCATAGGAATCAGTCTTGGGCTGCTCCTGTTTATAATCAGTCTTTTTCCTTCCCCTTGTAAAATTAAATGAGGAGGTCAGATGCTGCCATACCACCGTTTTTACAGTGGCTATACGTGTTGCAAAAATACATAATTGATTAAGATACCTCAATAGATCAAGATACCCTGACAGTAAAATTATTATTGAATGCCAGTAAATCAGAGATCTCTATGGTTGGTTAGCAGGCTGGCTTTTGCTACCCTGACAGTTGTATAATATTTTCAGATGCAAGGGAACTTCACTGGTTGCTAGTCTCCTAATAGGTCTACTACCCAGCATCATTTCTCTGCAAGGAAAACAGAAAAATAGCTACTCTTCTTGAAGAGTTTGGGTGTAGTGTTGGTGACAGCCTGAGGATGATCAAACAGATTCAGTAGATCACCAGTACAGCCCAAAACAGTGCAAGCTTTGGGACTTAATTGTAGAGGACAGCAACTTTGAAAATAATAATTAATTATTTAAAAATAGTTTTTAGGTGTGGGCAACAGTAGCCATATTTTCTTGACAGTCATACTTTAATGCTAAGGTTGTTCATTTTACATATTGCAATAAAGAAAATGTCATGACCATTCCAGATCTGTAAAATAATAATAATTTTTAGACAGTGTAACAAATCTCATGTTTACTGTAGTAGGCAGTCTCTCACTGTATATATATATTCTGAATACATATATACATTTTGAGTTGTAAAAGGAACTTCTTATTTGTATGAAACATTTTATCAATATATGTACTCCCGTATTTATATCTGGTAGATCACGTAGTAAAGTGATTGATCCAAGTTTGAACAATAATTGACATTCAGTGTTAAATCTAAAAATAATTGTGATACAGTCCTATTAGTAACACATTGGAAGAACATAATATTTTCTATAGAAATACTCGTAGGAACTTCATTTCTTTAACACAATTTGCAGAGAAAACAATTCTTTCTATAATGAAAGATAATACATAAAGCGAGAATTTAGACAATAAAACTCAGTTGGGTTGGTTTGGGGATTAAATAACTTGCTGTGTCAGACCCTGGGACCTGTCCATAGTTGCAGCCCCATCTGGCTCTGGATATTTAAGCTGGATTCTGGGGAGGGCTTGTAGTGAGGTTTGCTGAGTCTGTTCTCTGCAGGTGAGGTGACTCCCACAGGTACCAACCGTCGGGCTGGTGGGGAGGTTCAGTGGTCCACACAGTGAGCTGTGGTGCCTGGTCGCTGTCTCAGCAGGGAGTGTTTGGAGGCAAGTAGATGCATCTCACTTCTGAGTTTGTTCTGAAGCTTCGGCTTTACACAGGAAACCATGTTGCCTGCTCTCTGCCCATACACACTTTTAGTAAAATTTCATGAAAGCGCAGTTGGAGAATGCATCATTTCAGTGTCACACCTTTAAAAGGCTTTTCAGACGTATGATGAATTTGAATAAAACCCACCATTCAGTCTTTGACCTTTTAATTCAAACATGTGCAAAGTCAAGTCTGACTTACACAAATTAAAGGGGATGGAGTCAGTGAGACTTTTGGGAAATGCGGAACAAATAGAAACAGCATGGATACAGCAAAGAGGAAAGATTTGCCCTTTGGAATTTTGGGAAAATAAGTATGATCTGCCTCGTTTTCAACTATGGTTTGGCAGCCTGTTCAAAATAACTGTTCTTTTGACTGGCTGATTACCAATTGGGATTCTTATTGTTTGGATTTTTTAATCTCTCTTTGCCTGGTAGACACCATGAATTTGAAATGTTTAAAAACTTCAATAAATCACGATATATTATTTGAATAGATTACTGAGAATCTGTAAAAATGCTAAAAATACATTGATTTTATTGGCATGAAAAGATTCCTATTATTATTATTAGAATCCCTAAAAAGCAGGTTGTAAAATATCATGCACTTTATGCTTAAATTTATGAAAATTTCTATATGGACGCACATACATTCTGTAGACATGTTTATGGTGGTAATGTCTGTATAACCAAAAAAAACAAACTCACTGCCATCAAATCAGATCCAACTCATGGCGACCCCTCTGTGGGTTTCTGAGGCAGTATCACTTCGGAAGTAGATTGCCCAACCTTCCTTCCGAGGAGTGGCTGGTGGGTTTGAACCGCCAGCCTTCTGGTTAGCAGTCAAGTGCCTTAGGCAGTGCACAAGCA